GATTGAGATCTGTGTGTGTTCACTTTTGTTGATAAAAGGAGACACGTGCAACTCTGCAGTGTTAGAGGTCTCTCTGGAACATTCACTTTTGTGAACAAAAGTGATAACGCGCGGCTTGCTTTTCTAAAGGTTTCTCTGGAACAATCACTTTTGCCAGGAAAAATGATCACGTGCGCCCTTGCTATGCTGGAGCTTCTCTGGAACGCTCACTTTCATCAGCGAAAGTGTCATGCGCAAGTTTCCCTTCACTTTCAAGCCTTGGAACGATCACTTTTTTCAGCAATAGAGATCACGCCCAGCTCTTGCTTCATTAACCTTGTTCCTTGATTCCAGTTTTTGCTTATTTTCTTCTATCTTTCCTTTGATCTTCTGATCTCATGAACTTAGCTCAAAATTTCCTACCAAAATATGATTGAATTATTAATTTCTACACAAAAAATTCATAAATTCTAAAACAACTATGTCTTTAGAGAAAACTTTTATCATTCTATTATTTTTATGAGTTTTTCTGCTTTTTCCAACATGTTTTCTTTATCAGAGGTATTAAAACTAAGGTAAAATACTAGTAAAATATGGATTTATCAGCATGATCAATGCAAATGATAACTCTTGGTTTGGAAAAAGTGATTCATGCTTATATGACTCTAGATCTATAAAAATCCTATTGTTCAAAAGTTGTTGGCAGTTTCACTAGTCAAACTACATTTTGCATGTATGGTGGGACTCAAACCTCCACCAATCAATCTAGCCCAACCAACAAGATAAGTTTTAGGAGAAGGTCAGGATAAAAGAGCATCGCGTGGAGACTCCAAGCCAAAGTTCCGGGGTGTAGGACACTCATAGGGCTATTAGTAAGTCACCTAACTCTATTAAATCTCCTAGATGTCGAGCTCCTCCCTATCTTTCACCAACAACAGTTATAAAATAACCTCGTGACTTCCTTCACAAGAGAGTGGTATTTCGCACACATTTGCCTTTTGAATAGTCATGCACACTTTTGAAGTTTCACTCCCTTAATCACGCACACAGGCACTGGCTAAATTTAGATTTCATATCATTTCAGCAACTATTTAGAATCATATATATAGAGAGAATTAGCAAATACTTATATCGGTCCCTCAATGCACTTTCTCTAAGTGTTCCAAGCTCACTAGCTTCATCTCTTTCCTTGAGTTCCAACAATTACGCAACTAGAGTTACACTACTCATTTATTTTCAAAATGAACAAAATAAAGTTTTCACAAAGGTTTCAGTCATTAAATTCAATTATTGAACTTAGGGTCTAAGTTGAAAACAATGGCCAAACTCCTTAAAGAGCATATACTTTACATACCAATTTCCCCCTGGCATATCTTCATGCATTTCTAACCCTTAAAGGGCTCAAATTCACAAATGGTGCCCACTCAGCCTATGATGAATGTAGATTTTACTCGGTTATTAAGTAGTTTTCTAGGTTGTTTTTTTATAGAAAATATAATTTGAAAAGTGAAAATTACACAAAAATATATAAATGTTTAATAAAGTAAATTGTTGTCTTTAGTAATTCAAATTGTGTAAATTTAATAGAATTCTAATATAATTTTGTTAGTTTTGCAGGAGATTATAAGCTAAGAGTCTTGAGGATAAAGATTGAAGAGAAAATAAAAGAAAGTGAAAGTGCTGAAAATCAAGAAAATTACTGAAAATTAAGAATTAAGAGCAATTAGAGTCCATACCTGCCTAACCCAAGGGGGCAGAAAATGTTGAAAGAGCAATTCCTCTACCATTTCCTTAGAGAGTTGATGAATCCATATTTTTACTAATATTTTAGCATAGTTCTAACCCATTTGATAAGGAAAAAATATGAGAAAAGCAGAAAACTCAAAAAAATAGAATGATTGAAAGTTTTATTTCAATTTGTAGTTATTTTAGCATTGGTGAGATTTCTGCTTAGAAATTAAGAATTTAATCTTGTTTTGTAGGAATAATCTAAGCAAGGTTCATAGAAATGGAAGATCAATGGAAAGGAAGAAGAAGAGTAGCAAGTCTGAACTCAAAACACAAGAATTTTGGAATGCAAGCTGGGTGTGATCACTATTGTTAGTGAAAGTGATCGTTCCAGAGCTTAAAAGAAGAAGGGAGTATGGGCGTGGTCACTCTTACCAGCGAAAGTGAGTGTTCCAAAGAAGACTAAAATACAACAAGCTCTGCGTTACCACTCTTACCAGTGAAAGTAGATGTTCCAAAGAGTCTCTCAGAAATCTCAGACATAGCGAGCTCTACGTTACCACTCTTACCAACGAAAGTGAGTGTTCCAGAGAAGACTAAAATTCAACAAGCTCTTCATTACCACTTTTACTAGTAAAAGTGGATGTTCCAAAGAGATCTCAACTTAGCAAGTTGCGCGTGGCCACTTTTATTCATAAAAGTGATTATGCGCAACCACTCGACCTCCTGCGTTGCAGCTCTTATCATTGAAAGTGATAGTTTCAATTTTCTGAAACTATATAAGCATCTGCATGGTCACTCTTATGGAGCAAAGTGACAACACCCAGAGTCAGTAATTCTAAATACCAGAAAAAGCTCAAATTTCGGGGTCTTTTGTTCATTTTCCATTTTTTCTGTTAGATTCTCGTTGAGAGAGAGTGGGAGAGAGGATTGGGGTTAAACCTCGAAGCTCCAAGAGGAGGAATTGGATTGGAGCTCGTGAAGATGGCTTCTCTTCTTCTCCTTCTTTCTCTTTCTTTGTTACAATGTCTGGTTAATTCTTCGTACTTAGGAGTTTATGGATCTTGAATTGATGTATTGATTCACTTCTTGCTTCTAAAATTTGAGTTCTTAGATTAATTGAGTTGCTAATTCTGCTGTCATTGCAATCTTTGAATAGGAATTCATATGATTAATCAAAGAGGAACATTTGCTAATGGAAGTTAGATTTGCTTCTCTAATATGAATTAGCAACCAGAATTAGGAATTTCTTAGGGATAAGGAACCTAATCCTGCAATCCGACAGTTCTAAGTCTTAATGCAACTTGAAATTGAACTACACCTAAGGGATTAGGGTGGTTTAGTTACTCGTTAGGGTCAATGATTTAAAGGATTAAACTTTGACTATTAATAAGAGAAACTGATTGTCAATTAACAAATTGCTTGAATGTTTAGAGGCATAATTGAATTGATATTGACATTCTTGTGAAATAAATTCCTAACTATCATTCATCCATTCTTCTAATCTCAACATCAAGTTCTTTACCTTTTAATTGTTCTTATTTCGTACTTTTTGGATGATACAACTCTTCCAAATATGTTTGGCTCAACTGGTTGTTGTTCTGTGAAGTTGTACTTGAATTCCTAATTCCCTGTGGAGACGATACTCTGATATTAAAAATTACTCATTACTTGCTGCAATTCCTAGTGCACTTGCTAGTGTTTAGAATTGTAACAACAAGTTTTTGATGCTATTGCTGGGGAAATTTGAGTTTCAATATCATTGGTAACAGAAAATTGCTAGATTGAGTACTTGTTTCTTAATTTTTCTCTGTAGTTAGTATTACTTTCAAGTTACTCTGTTCTTATTTTAATAGATAAGTGTAGGATACTAGTAGATAATTTTGCATGATTCTGCAATTCTGCATAATTCTGCAGTTGCTAGACTGAACTTGGATGTTTTTGCTGATATTTTTCTGTATAATCTTTGTTAGTGTATATCTTACTATTGAATTTTAGTTTAACTTGTTAGTTTTGATTTGTATATGCGAGGGAAAAATAAAAATAAAGCCACTTTTGGTATTTGATCCAGACATTGACCAAACTCTAAGGAGGTTAAGAAGTGAAGCAAATTTAAGCAAATTCAAAGAGAGCAGCAAGAGAGTTCTACACTTCCACCTCAACCTAGTTAAATCCAAAGACAAATCAAGATGTAGAGCCACAAAATGAGAACATTAGGGGACTACGCAATTCCTAATTTACAAGGGTTCAGCTCTTCTATTTGAGACCTACAATCCAGGCTAACCATTTTGAGATAAAACCTGCACTCTTGAATTTGGTACAGCAGGACCAATTTGCAGGAAACCATTCAGATGATCCAAATCTGCACATCTCTAATTTCTTGCAACTTTTTGACACAATCAGAATCAATGGGGTGAGTGAGGATGCAATCAGACTCAGATTATTCCATTCTCATTGAGAAATAAAGCCAAGTGTTGGCTTCAAGCTCAGCTACAAGGTAGCATTTCAACATGGGCTGATTTGGTCAACAAGTTTCTAATCAAGTATTTTCCCCCTTCAAAAGCTGCAAAAATCAGAGGTAAGATTACATCTTTTGTTCAGCAAGATGGAGAGCCATTGTATGAGGCATGGGAAAGATACAAGGAGTTATTAAAGAAATGTCCTCATCAGTGCATACCTGAATGGATGCAACTAGGAAACATTTTATAATGGATGACTACAACAACTAAAATCATGATAGATGCAGCAGCTGGAGGTTCACGGAGTTCAAAAACATTGGAAGAAGCCCAGCAAATTATAGAAATGATGGCATCTTCAATGTATCAAAATATGAATGAAAGACAAGCTTCAAGGAGAGGAGGCTATGATGTAAAATCTATAGAAGCCTTATTTGCTCAAACCAACTACAAAACCAACAATTTTCTGAACAGCTTGCTGTTTTGACTCAACAAATA